ACAGAACAACTGCAGTAATGAAAAACATCTATTTTTACGTACACTGCTGACTTTATTTCACAACTTTTCTAGGTTCGTGAAGCAGTTTACAGTCATCCATGGCTCCTTACAACACTAAAAGGACATGTGGGCCAAGTTTTAGATATCGACTTTTCGCCCAATGGAAAGTTCCTGGTATCAGTGTGTAGTGATAGAACGATGTTTTTGTGGAATATAAAAGTCTGTGTTTTTGCAGTTTTTAGGAGTTCGTTGTTGTTAATGTGTTAGATTACTCTTTGTGAAAAAGTTTTCTGTGTTTTAGGACTTTACTGAACGAGAACACAAATTCGCTCGGGGTAATGTTGATTTGGATAATGGATCATACGTTGCTTTTGCTCCAGATTCAAAAAGCATATTACTGTGTCTACAAGTGAATAACAAGGTTTTCTCAGCTTTTAATTCTTTTTGTCATTAATTGAGCTCTGTTAGGACATTTTATTTATTTTATAGTTAGCGGTTTATAAAGCAACGAAAAAAGAAGACGGTTCTCACGGTTATCGGATTTTACCTGTTGAAAACGTAGAGTTTCCTGAAGTACATGCAAAAGATATCAATGGCATAGGAATTGCCTGTAATGGTAAAAGCTATTTTCATGGTTTCTTTGCAATCTTTTGTGAAAAGAAAATGGATTATCAACATTTTTTTTCCAGGAAAATTTGTGTTGTCGTCGTCGGATGACAATAAACTGGTTGTTTATAGTTTGCATGGTGAGCTTTTGAAAACAGTTGAACCAAAGCTCAATGTTTTATATGAAGCTCTAGTGACTCCTGATGGCCGTTTTATCGCCGCTAGTGGCTTTACACCTGACGTCTTTGTTTTTGAGGTTCACTTTTTGAAAGGTGTTGGGAAATCAGATTTTCTAAATTGCCAATTTGTCACAATCACGGTACATTAGCTGCGATGATAGTGGAATTCAAGGAAGAGCATAGCCGCAGTTAATGACCATGGATTTTAACTAAATTTTTTTCTGATTGAAAATGCGATGTCGTAAGTAGAGTTCTTTTCATAGGCTAACAATTAAGTCTTTTGTGCACAAGACCTAATATATTATTATTGACAATATAGCTATAACATCGCGATTTTTAGGTTTTATTCAATCGTCAAGGGGAGTTTCAAGATGTAAAAAAGGCATTTGACTTGAAGGCTAGTAGTTTTTTCCATTTATATAATAACCTGCGTGGACTGACTCAGATGAATGCCGCAGTCACAGTGTTTGACACATATTCAGATTTGTTTTAGGGCCACAGGTCAGGCATACCCTCTTTTGCTTTTAATCAAAATTCAAGTCGTTGCGTTACTGCTTCAAAGGATGGAACTTGGAGGTTGTATGACACTGATATTCGTTATTCACTTGGCGAAGAGGCGAAAACGATAGCAAGGTTACTTCTCTCGCGATAGTTCAAGTCTACACGGGTTTTTATACTCGTTATTTCGTTGAATGAATGTTTTTCAGTGGGGAGTGGGACCTTCTAAAGAATGCGCCTCCCGAATCTGTTAGTGTGGCAATGAGCCTCTCTGGAAAGAGTTTCGCTGTTGGTGCTAGCAGACACATACACATTTTCAGTGCAGTAGATGACACGAAGAAATTTGATATAAGTTTGTCGTTTTTCACATTACCTTTTCATTCTCATTAGAGTTGGAGCGTAGGATGTCTAATTGTCGACATTAATAGGAAGGACTTTGAGTTGTTTGGAAGGGATCAACTTCGTTGGTAGTTATCAGTGTTATTTTAGTTCTGGATGTACATCAAGATTTATTAAACCGTGTCCGGATAAGCCCTTGTGGCAAGATGGTAGCAACATGTGGGGACCGATATATTCGTGTATTTCACAATGTAGCTGAGTACTACAGTGATGTCGTTGAACTTGAGCGTGCCGTTAAAGAAAGTCGCCAAGAATCACACAAAAGACGGGTGCAAGAGCAATTGGAGGAAGCAAAGGTAGCAATGAAGGCTGTTTTAGGGGAATAGGACAGGTAGGTAACCAGGACCTTAGTCCTTCTCAGCGGCTTCTAGAGCACCTCAGTATGATATAAGGTAGAGGAAGACCGAATTTATTTGTTCCAGTTGTTCAAGAACACTTTTTTTTGTATAGAAGATTTTGAAGTTATGGATTGCAGTTGTTTTTTTCCTGAAGTTCATGAGTTGTTGTTTTCATAAATCACTATTACTTGCGGGTCCTGGTGTAAAATTATTACTAACACCAGAAAGCATGGTGCTTTTCAAGTATAATTAAGTGATAGTCTAGAAAATCAGGTAATTGCTTATTTTCCAAATTTCAAATGACGACATTACGATTGCCATTCATTGCCATAACTTTTTTTCCTCAAATTCTTTTACGTCATCTTTCCCATTTCGTTTACCTTTGCATCAATGATTTATGGTGAAAACAATATAACAGCGACAACTTTTCTTCTAAGAGATGTTCACATTAATTTGGGACAGTTTTAGGTTTCTGATAATTTTGTTGTTACAGTCGAGCGTACCAGCAATTATTATTTGTTATACGGTTAATTAGCATTTTCATAGAATTAATTTTTTTTTAAATAAAGGGCTTTCGTTAACAGGAACTATTGACTTTTAAATTACAGTGTTGGAGCGCCAACTAACTGAAACAGTTCTGAACCAGTGGTATGATGTTAGAGCATCATGAGAATATTACTGCGCAGTTAGGAATAGTCGTTCAGAAACAATTTTTTTAGTTGCAGGGATCTTAGTAGCATGCAAATTAGCGATCCCTGCTAGGCATACATTTCAGTATTGCAAATGCTGCTTTTTCGAGATTC